TTTGTGTTTTTTTTTTTTTTTTTTTTTAAAGAATTTTCATGAGGAATAGGAAGACAAACAGGGATCATCTTTCATTCAGCATTCAGAGAACCCTAATCAGACTGGGTGCTCAATTCTTCTGAGAGTATTTCCTAAGTAGAGAATAAGCTTAGAGAGTTTATCACATATGTGTTTCAAATGATATTTTTCTTTAATTTTTTAAAATAAAAATACATATTTCTGCTGTACGATATTCTATAAAAATCACTTAGAATTGACGAGAGCTTTGCTTGCAAAAAAAAACTAACAAAAACCTGTGAACTATTTCTTAATAAATAATTAAATTTAATTAACACAAGCTCCTTCCTGTCCTGCCAGCTCTTTGGACCAGTATAGGATACCATAAAACATTACTGAAACCAAATTAGAAGATAATAAGAATAATATAATTCCTATAAAATATTTCATAAAACACAAACACCTAGAAGTGGGTCTGATACTGGTAAGGAAGTGAAAGAGATGATAATCATATGAGGCCATAGCTGTGCATATTAAAAACAAAACAATATGTTTAAAAAGGGAAGCAAAGACAGTCCCTCAGAGGCAGGAGGCAGAAATTCCTGTATCCTCTGAGACTCTGACAGCAAAACCAGAACTGTGTGAGAACAGGAGGAATCTTTTAAGGGACCTGCACATAGCTGAGGGAGAAGCACGCAGTAAATGCTGCAAGGAATAAAACACGACTAGCACAAGGTTCATGTCTATGTGTGCCTTCAAAGGAAGAGCAGAAAGCAGCTGAAAGATGATTATTTCTGGGGCCAGAGAATTACTCTGCTGCTACAGACTGGGCAGGCTGCGGCGGCCAGAGAAGCCCTGCTAGGAGACGCAAGTGCAGCAATCAATCCCTGTGGGCAAGAAGGCACGTGATGTTGTAGCCAGGTGATTGTAAAAGGAAGCACGAGGCCAGGAGGAACCAACGAACTAGAACACTTAAAACAAACTCCCTTAGCACATCTGACTTGCTTCATCTTTAACATTTGCAAAGAAAGGAAAACACCTTCATTTTGTCTGCAAGCTGCAAGACTTAACAGAAAAGCCTAACAAAGCAATTCAATTACGTGCATTTCTTAAAGTTTTACCAATATACAAAAGGCAAAAATGTTCTCAATACGCGATGTAGTACTACTAATTGCAAAGAAATATTCTTTTACTTTTATTTCTGTGCACTTCAGTGTCCATTAAAGAATCTTTTTATGTGACAGCACAGACAAGTTCCTAGTTACATCACAGACAAAAGTTACTCTAGCATTTCATTGTTTTAAGATAAAAAAGTAAAAAGAACAAGATTGTGAAATGTAATTAATGATTTTGGATACTCAACATAATTTAAATGCAGTCTGCTCTCAAGAGAGTACTAAGTATCTGTTCTACAAAAACAAAACAAACAGATGCATTTAGCTGTCCTAAGATGGGAAACCCAAGACTTCGGCAGCCCAAACTCACTTGATAACTTCTGAAAGAGCTGAATAGTCTCTCTTCTCATTAAACTACCCTTTGATAAAGAGATGAAGGGAGAACCTTGTTTGTAGCAATGACATTTTCCTGCCACTTTCCTGCCTCCTTACCCAGTCAGCATGGGGCAGGTATTGCAGCTTGTGGGTTACCAGCACGATGGTTCGTTTGTCTTCCCGTAGCATTTTCAGGATCCCTTCTTCCATGAGATGGTCACTTAGGTGGATATCCAAGGCAGAAAATGGATCATCCTGTCAAGAGGAAAAGAGGTCAGCTATAGACAAAATCAAAAGATCATCAGGGGACCACAACTGAGCTGTGAAAAGGCTTTCTCAAGTTAGGTAACAATAAAGGCTGAACTGTCACTTCGCACTGAGCAATTAGACATAGAGTAATACTAGCTGTGCAAATACTATAATTTCCTCAGTTTTTTAACGACCTTCTGCTCTCTTAATGGATGCATTTCATAGCCTAACATAAATGCAGTATGTGGTTTCTACTTAGACTCAAGACAGTACTGCAACATATATCTAGCGCATGTATTACAGAAACTGCCCCAGCAACTGTGACAGAGCATGTTTTTATTTCCCTTGTGATTTTTTTCTGTGATAAACACAGTTCTGCTTTATTAACAAAGAACAAAAGAGAAATATTGAACACTTTGGTGATCCTCATCAAATTTATTGGACCAACAAATTAAATGCAATTTACTCAGGAATAAACTACTACGTATCATCTCTTTGAGAATTTGTTTACTTGTACTTATCCTGTTTATACTGAAACTTCAGATTGCTTTACAAAATTTAGCTTAAAAAAATTGTGTGAAATTTTATTTTATACCAACAATGCAGCCAAAACCCTGAGCGAAGATGTAACTTGTCAGCTTTCCCAGTGCATTCATATGTTCCTCCAACCTGGCTCACACCTAATCATCCTTTGGGGCCCCTCGTTTGTGCACAGCCACACCACATACCATGTTGCACTTTCAGGCACTGTAATGCCATGTCAGAGAACACGATGTGGTCTCGTACAGTCAGGCCAGGCTGCTCCCTAAAAGGGGCTCACCATATATGATTATAATTATGCACTGATTATCAGACGCCAGAAGTCAGTTCATGTCACAGGACTGCTCTGACAGGGAACAGATAAAACATGTTGAATGAATTAATGTAATGAAGAAAGAAATTTTTATATGTCTTTTATTTATATGACTTTTTCATATCTGCAAATATGACAGAAAGTTCCAGTAACATAAAATTATTGCATACGAGGCACACATTCCTGTGAAAGTTTTCTAAATATTTGTTTATAAAAGCAATCTTAAAAGAGCTGGATATTTTCAAGTATTAGCATATAGGATTCTGGATTATTTTGAAAGATCAGTAACTGAAAAAACAAAGTTATTGTAGATGGTACCAAACTATATGAGAACTTGCTGCTACTAGAAGATTATTGAGTATCCTGCACAAAACCACTTTTGTGAAGTGACAAAGAGGGGAGGGGAGGAAAAAAAACACACTCTTACTTCCTGCTCAATTGCAATAATCTCCTGAATTTCAAGGATGATTTCTATGTGCACAGCTTTTCTAATCCCATGTGACTGCCAGGCCTGACAGTGGGATTCAGAGCTCCTTGAAACTGAGCTTAAGAAGGAAGGTGTTTGTTGGAAGAGGCAGCAAGCCTACTCACGAGTGCAAAGGATGCATCTGTTTTCCCACCTACTAAGGTCTAGGAGCCTAATTGCACTCCTTTTCCCATTGCACATCTGTTGAAGCTGAGGCAGGATACACAAGGGTGGGGGAGACGGCTTAGTTTGTTGCAGAAAGGAAACACCTTTGACACAGGACAACATTAATTTTTTCGCCTGAGATATCTTAGGAATTTTTATAAATACTGCTGAGACTATAAAATGTGCAAAAACCAAGAATATGTACAAGGGTCAAAAAGAAATTTCATAGACAGGAAGAAGAAGCACCAGCATTTCAGTTTGCATCCTAATATTTATCTGCAGTGTTTACAAAGCGCTTCTTACCACTAGCTAACAATTGATATAAAATAAATAGTGCACATTTGGCTTAGCTCAGCGAAGCCTCATGTCTTGGATGTGTTCACATTCTTCGTGAGTTAATTCTAAGTGCTCACAGCCAGTGCTTCTCCTTGCGGCATAAACACAACGGCACCTACTCACCAGGAACACAACATTTGTCTGCTGGTAAAGTGCTCTCGCCACACTGATGCGCTGCCGCTGCCCTCCAGACAGATTAATACCCTGGGGACAAACACGGGAAATCAAAACTAAGCAAACTTATAAAACACAAACTGAATATTAATATTTTGTTCAGATTACCCAGAAAACACTTTCTTGACCTAGAAACCCAGACAAACTTTTTGAAAGCATGGGTGTGAAATTCAGCTGGGAATTTTGTAGATAAACAGTTACAAAAGCCAGAGTGCTCTGCTAGGAAATCCACACCATCCATACCAGACAGATCAGAAATGTTGCATGGTTTGCAGTGGCATAGTGGTGTAGGTGGCACAATGGCCTGGGTGGCCTTGACACTATGCAGGCTTTCCTAAACTAGTAGGAGGTAGCAGTAAGTGTCTGGCTCTGCTCATAATTTTTCCGCCAATCTGTCCTACCATATTCGCTCCATCACATACCACATTGTGCTGTAGCTCCTGTAATCAGTAATTGTGAGATGTCCTACCAGACCTCACTGAGAGGATCATTGTCTAGTTACTACTGCACTTAGTTTTGCTACAGACCTGCTTCTTCCTGTGGTCAAATTGCAGTTTCACAAACTCTTCCAGCTCTCATAAGACAAAAATGCAAGAGACTATAGCACCTTTTCCCTACCATTTATTCCTTCCACTCTGCTTCCTTCCTCTTCTCACATAAACACTTGTTATGCTACACTATGAATTGGGTTGGGAAGTCATCCATCTCATATAAGCCTGGGAGCTGGTGTGGAGAGGAAGCAAATAGATTAGGGGTGGAAATATATCCTTTATTTTTTTTTCAGCAGCAGCACCAGTTTAAGCCAGAGTAAACTGTGAATAAAATTGTGACTTCAGTTCTTTTATTGGTATTCCATATTTTTTTTCAGTGTGGAAAAGCTTAATTTGCTGTTTATTAGACACTTGCCATTTTTGAAGTGTAAGTACTCTAAAATTCACGAATTGTTTACCCTACTCCTAAATAACTAACATTTGCACTGTGAAGCCAGTAGTGGCCACGGAATTAGTTGGACATATGATGGCAGCACATTTAAACCACTGCATCTCACACGAGCAGCAGTGTTTCCATGTTTACTAAGCAATGAGCTTTCAGACTAATGAGCCAAAAGTCCACTGAACTCAAAGATTACTTTTGTTGCCAAATAACCAGTAAGATTTTAAGAACACAACAAAATAATAAAAAAACTCTATACATTTAAAACAAAAATAGAAGCCTCTGACTGTTTACCGACCCTCTCTCCAATCTGGGTTTGGTCTCCATGAGGGAGAATGTCAATATCAGGCTGGAGGGAACAAGCATCAATTACTGCTTTGTACCTGCGGAAACAAAAAAGGCAATACAAAATCCACATAGATACTGCTAAAGAAGCACATTTACTACCTGTGAGAGAACAAAGATTAACCAGCTGGAAAAATCACACAGTGGAAAAACCTATTTGTTAGCCACTAATTGTTCTAATGGGATCTCTTTCAATCACAGCCAAGCAAATACCATTTCAGCTAAGAAAGCATCTTAGGTCAGCTTCCCAATTAAAAATACTTAGTAGTTAAAAACAGACACAACAAGTACAAACTCTACCAAGGCATAATATCACTGTTTAGCATTTAACTTATTCTGTGTGAACACATAGGGACCAACTTGTTTTAGTGGGGAAAGGGAAAGATATGGGATACCAGCAACGACTTTTCAATCTTTTAAATGATTTTGTGAGCTTTAACAAAAAGACAGCCATTAGTCCTTCACGATACACCAAACTCTGGCCTTTGTGTCCTTCAGGAAAACATGAGCAAAAGGGAGGCCATGCAGAATGCTACCTTTTCTAACAGATTTAGGTAGGCATTTTATATTTGTTACTGTATGGAGATGTCCCCAGTGAGAGAGGGATCCATGCATGAACTGAGGCCCATGCAACAGCCAGGATTTAGTTAAAAAGGGAATAAAGTATAAAAAACAGTTGTTACCTCTGTTTATTAAAAGGGCTTTCAAATGTGATATTCTCTTCCACTGTGGCATTGAGCAACCAAGGCTTCTGTGAAGCATATGCTACTGATCCTCTTTTCCTAGAAAAACAGGAGTTCCCACCATGTCAGTGCAACCGAGGTTATTGGAAATAATTTTCTGGTAAAGGAAAAAACTGGTAATAATTCTTCAGAAATACAGTTTTCATTTCTGTTCTTTAGGTCAATAAATAGACAAGCCATCAAAGAATTATATGAAATGTTAATTTCCCAGCACTGGGAGAGCCTGCTTCTTGAGCAGTGCAGATGGCAAGAAGAGAATTATCAAAACCAAATACTAACTCATTCTGGAGAGCTGATAATACACAAAATGTATACCGGATCACTGTTTAGGTATCACATTTCAGAAGCACTTTTGTGACAAGTATTTAAAGCTTCAAAAGTAGCAACAACTACCCACATGCACAAAGGAACCTCTCTGCCCCTTTTCCTTCCCTCCCATTTATTTTCCGCACTATAAAGAAAGAACTCCAGAGCCATCACGACTTGTCCTATGTCGTTCTGAAAACAGGAGAAGAGAGTCCTCACCTTTCATCCAAATGCTGCCTTGCTGCCAGCAAGGTCCTGAAAGACAGGACCAAGGTCCAAGAAAGGTCCTGACCTTTCATCCAAATGCTGCCAGCTAGGCTGCTGTCAGGGCTGGCCACAAAGGCAATTCAAACTGTGAGCCACAAGATGAGAATAAAACAGGTGCCTTTCTTTTTCCCCTTTCTTTTTTTTTGTTTTTCCTCCCTCTACAACTACTTCTTCTAAATCAGGAGTTAAGTTAAAAGGAGCCCTGCTCATTTTTTCAGGCTTCTACTGAGCTTGCTGAGAAGTCACTATAGGACTAATTTTCCCTGAAGACATGAAAGAACGTGCAGGTCAGCAGGGCAGCAGAACGTGCAGAGCAGGCTTCCACAGTCTGATTACTCATTAGAATTTAATTATGCTTTATAAATTCCATTACTAGAAAATGATACAGAAATAAAACAAAACACAAAGCCCTTACAAACCCCGCCTGTAGTCTCAAAATCTAATTCAAAGAGCCTTTAGGTCTGGCTTGGGAAAAAAGCCCTAGTTCCATTAGTTCAAAAATCACATCCTGGTGAGTAAGAAAAAATTGCTCAGAGCATTTTAAGATGAACATGTGTTCCCCTCCTTTCCTTTTTATTGCTCAAAACTGTACCTTTGCCATTATTAATTCTGAAAATAATTGAAAAATTCAAATTTCTTCTTTGAAAAATAATAGTGAAGCTTTGAGGATAAAATTTTTAAAACCTTTTGAAAATGGTCTTTCTTTCAGTGAAGTTACAAGCATTAGAGGTAAGATTCACTTCATGTTCAGAAGCAACACCACTGTGAATCCCATTTTTGGCTTAAATTTTGCTTTAAGGGCATGACTGAAAATTAATTACTGCAATAACTCGTTTAAATTCATTACAAATTTAGAATGGAGTAGATCGTCTTAAATTCAATTAATTTTAAATGCAAATTGACACTAAGATGATTTATTGGGCAGACTGTGGGCAGAGCCAGTGGACATGCTAAAGACCTCAGAAAACAGGACTACTCAATAGACATCTACATATGAATCTGGGTGCCTCAATAAACCTACCAACAAGTCTTAAAATGTTGGTAATCCTAAAAAGAAAACATATACGCTTAGAGCAACGATGCAATTATGGTTGCAGAGATACAGGAAATAGTACATGGCAAACCCTTTGTAGCATGTCTTGGATTCCTGACTATAGTTTCCTCTTCATTATTTTCTACAATTCATGAATTTCCAGTGTTAATCAACAAAGTCATAACGTGTGCCTCAGACATATGCAAGAAATGTGAGCTGTCCTGTCCTTACAGTATCATTACTGCATCTTTATATACTATAAAATATGCTTCCATTATTTTCAGCCTGGCAGGAGGTAATAAAACATTCAGATTTTGATGTTCCTGAGAATGCTTCTGAATTTTTGCTCTTGCCATATGCTGCAAGTCTCCTGCCTGCTGCTTTTCTTTTAAACTGGTTTTGTTTCTAAAGCTTGGCAGCAGCTGTATGCTGCATGCATTTGGTTTCCAAGAAGGAACAATTAATTAGGATGAGACACTTGTGAAGAATAGTCCAATTATTTTTTAAAGTGTTGTACCTGAATTCCATGTCCACAGAAGATTCTCTCTCTGGGCTGCAGAAACCAAACACAAATTATTATTTTTTTAATTAAAATTATTTTAGACAATGAAGAATGCCCTAAAGTTCAGAACTACACTATAAATAAAAATATATCAGTAGGATTGCATAAAAGAAATATTCTCCAAATAGTCCACAATTCTGTTCCAGACAATATTGATATAAAACATATGGTTAGGGACTCCATTCTAAGACCCCCCCAAATATTCTGTAGGATGGTAGTGTAACCAGACCGTGGTACATACTCCTACAGCATTTAATCCCCAACAAGGATTCACAGAATCTATTATAACACAAATAACATTAAATGATTGAAATGATGTCAAGAAAAAGATGGGACTTTTAAGACATAACTACGTCATATAGTCTTAATACTCTTTCCTATTTTAATAAATTTACTGTACTGTTTCATATGTTATCCTATTGCTTGTCCCTATAGCAGTTTTCAAAAATAAGAATGTTTGATTCAGATTCTGATTTTGCGCGTGTGTCTTAGTAGGTTCAAGTTCACTGAAACTATTTCATTTTTATTTGGACCAGAGACTGCAGGGTCTCTTACACAGAAAGAACTGTGAGATTTCCAAATATCCTTTCACAGGAAATTTCAATGCTTAGACACTTGAAACTCCCTAATATACATGGATAGGGACACAAGTTTTGCAGGAGACAGGTTTAAGCAGGAGAGAAGAGGCTCTCTGTATGCTCTCTATCAATCAGGTAAAAATTACTTCCACACAAAGATGCCAAGCCAGAGAATGGACTAAACTACTATTCCCCACACTTCTCATTTTTCATGTGCCTGAAGAATGCTAGGTGTGAAAATAAATTTAGGACATAAAAAAATGAAAAGAAGGAAAAAGGGGAAAATTTGATTTAATAAATAAAGCCTTTAAAGCAATACTTGATACTAGTTCTTAAAGTGTGGAATTAAGGAGTAATCTGATGCAGACATAGAGAAAAGGAATTTCAAAGGCATACCAAAAATACAGGTGTGATTTTCAAAAGCACCAAACAGTAATGTTTTCAGCAAGGAAGTCCAGATTTTAGTCTCCTAAGTGATGTAGGTAGATTTGCAGGTTGTATGCTTAATTACTTAAAGCAATGTGAGTTTCACCGATTTTCAAAATTCTGATTCTTTGAAAACCCTAGGCACAGCTTTAGAAATGTCTGCCTCCTATTGCTTCCAATCTATTAGAAAGATCAAGAGTCACATACAAAACCATACCATACCTGCCATCCTCCCCCGTCTCGCTGTCAGGAGGACTGCTGCATCACAGACAGAAAGGCAGACAAAGATTTATTTAAGTAAACACAAGCAATCTTGCCCCAGAAAGCAAAACTATTAAATTCCACTTAGTGCACAGATTGCAAACAGTATTTATACCAAGCTTCAGTGCAGCATCTGTTCCTTCTACAGAAACTGACTTGATTTTAGTAGTTTAAATAAATAAATAAATAAATAAAAGGATGGCAGTTTTTTCCTTCACACACATTTTATTTGACTCAGCAAATATGATCACCTCCATCCTGTCCTGGAGATGCTAACAGAACTAAAAATGAATTCAAAAGAATTGAAAGAATTCAGTTTCCTTTAAAAGAAAACAAATTTAAGAGAGACATTTTTCAGGGGAAATGCCTTGATAATTCATGACCCTACTTTTCCATGACAATATCTATGCCTTTGTGGCACACAGCAGGTTAGTTCAAAACCAAAACCCACTTTTGGATGATGCACTATAGGCTGTATTCTGCACCAGCACTATCCTTAGGGGGATCTGTCTGTATAAGTAAGGCGGGCAAGTGTAAAGGAGGGATGGTTTATTTTCTGGCTATTTTTAAATGTGCAACAAGATGTCCACAGAGCTGTTTTGACAGGATAACTGTCCCTGCTCTCTACTGGTGCTAACTGCAGTTTTAGCGAAAAGAAAGAAGAAACCAACAGTGGACGTGGACGTGCACACACGCACACATAAAGCAGAAAGAGTTTTTCAGGTTTCAAAGGAAACTGGCTTACTGGCTTCATGCCAGCCCTATTGTTTGTAGACACTGAGGCGGGAAAGCTACACCTGCAGCTTAAAAGGCTGGTCTGCAATGCCTCCAAAAGACACATGCCGAGGAGGCAGTGATTGCATCTGAATTCAATCACCTGTGCAGGTTCTCAGGGCAGCTGGCAAGCCACCATCTTTTTTCCTAAGGTTAGAGCACTGAACAACTCTCTTCCACACGGTTACCTCACACTCCTCCAGTGTTAGGGACCACGTCACTTCGGTACCCAAAGACCCAAGAACGTGCACAGGTGGTGTTTGACTCTCATAAACACACCTTTCTAAAAATGTAAGTACTGTGTAGGCATCAAAAAACACTTAATGCCATTTGATCAAAGTCAGCCCTACAGTGAGTACAGCATTACTGAAGTCTGTTATCAACTTTATGGAATCTACCACTTCCTTCACACTATAAGGACTATAGAGTCACATGGAATATATACCTTTTTTAGAAACGAACAAGCATTGTTTGAGCAAAATTTCTCTTACTCAGTTATTGAACTGAACTTATTACCAGCTTCTGATTCTATTTATTTCCAAAAGACTAGTATTTATGTTACAAACTCCTCCCTGGACTTGAACTGGGGCTATTCTCAGTAAGATCAGCATGGCTTACAGCATACTTATTTACAAATCAATATTATTTACCATCTACTCAGAACATATTCAGAATTTCTATAGTTCTATCCATCTCTAATTACTTCATAAAATATTTAAGCCAAGGGTGCTCTCAGCCTGCTTCGGAGAAGGAGCAATAATCCGAGCTGGATTTTCTGGGCAGACTGTAATACAAATAACAGAAGTGAGCCACAAAAGAGCCAGTGCTCACGTCTTACTAGCTGATTCCTAGTCCAGTAACAAGTGATATTTATTTTTAGCATCTCAACTCAAACTTTTTATAGGAAGCAAATAAAGATGCTATGCAGCTAATCCTGTTTTATTGGTAGAGAATGGAGACATGGAGAAGGGAAATGGCTCACACAAGGTTACCCATTAGAGCAAGGGAAGGGCCAGGAATAGAATCCAGATTTCCTGAGCATTGACTGACATGTCAGCAGGATATATCCTTCATCTTCATAGCTATGACCTTGGAGGAGAGGAAAGGGAAGGAAATTTGGAATGAAATAATTCAGGACTATTCCGTAACATGGATGACCACAGTCAAGAATTTGTCTTATTCCACAGAATGGGCTGGAATAAGTGATCTCACTAATTTTGGTGTCACATTTTGTTGCCAAAGGTAAGGCCGTGCACTATGGTGATTTTTTGGTAGGATTGCTTTCCTTGAACAAGTGGTAATGCTGACTGTACCTGGCCAGGCATTAGTACTGTCTCATGGAATTGCTGGAGCTTCATCTGGGAGCTTTACCACACAGATGTGTAGCTGGCATATACTGGATCCCTCATTCCCGGGAGGCCACTGCACATGGCAGCATTCGTAGTGCAGCCAGCTGTTACAGAGCTGGAATGTTTCACTGTAAGTCCCTTCATACATATCTGCTAGCTAGCAAAGCACGTGCTGTAACAACCACACTGCAACTTGTGAAACTTTGGCACATCAATAGCGAAGACATCAAAACCAGCTGTGACCTTTACGTTGTTGTGAAGCACATACTTCTAAACAAGTCTGATCAGAACCATCGTGTCATCTGTTTTTGTTTAGCATTTGGCATTCAAATTACACTCCTTGATGATGTTATGTCATCTATTAAAAAAACACAGCCTTGCTAAAATTAAATTAGCTCACCTAATCAGGCAGCAGAGAAGCTGCACAGTTCTTTACCATACTCTGACTTGTCTTTGGGGCTGTATGTTTTAACAGTTAGATCACCAGCCTGGAAATCTGGCTCCTACCCAGTCCTTCGAAGTATCTTCTATCTGCCTCACAAGCCAAAAGTCATCTTCCTACGTCTCATTTTCAAAGCAAAGACCCTCCATCCACCTGAATAAATGGATGGGATTTAGAGCTGCACTGTTTCTCCTTAATTTCCAGTCAGCTGGAAAAAAAAAATTGTTTCTCTAGATTTTTTTCCCAATTTGTCAATCTTCACTTAAAAATAACTGCATCTCAAAAGACAAAGTGTAGACAGTATCATTAAGTCTAGTCTTGTAAAATGAACAGGCCACAAATGTTTGCACACATTCATCAATGACTAGAGAGGGCAGTAAAACGAACAGGCCACAAATGTTTGCACACATTCATCAATGACCAGAGAGGGCAGTAATTCACTGGAAATCACACACAGGACTTGCAGTACTTTATAGCACCTGCCATTGAGCTCGAAGCTTAAAAGGCCAAGTCCTGACAATTCAGCTGTTGGAGCTCAGCAACAGTTTCTCCATTAGCAGCTAGTACAAGAGCAGGACAGAAGCACAGTTTGTATCCTGATGCCAATGTCAAGCTGCCTGTGGCTCTTGAGAACAGCAGGACGGACGTGACTATCTCCTCTCAGCAAACACCTGGCTGGGTGCACCTGAGCTCGCTGCTGCTTACAAACATCTCCTCAATCCCTCATGCAACAGACTGGTGTTGGGATGGAACACAAGTCTGAGAGCAGAGCCCTACCTAGCTCCTAATAAGCCACTTCTCCTCCTTACAAGCGCCATTCTGAGGAATGGGATCAGGCCTGGAACTGGAAAGGCCATTCTGCAGGAACACACCTTAATTCTTGCCTTTTTCTGTATTGTTATTCAATTCAAGATTGAACATTTAAATAACACTACCTGCTCCAGAATATGTTGCCAGAGATCTTCTGCATCTCACCAAGTGTGGCTAGCAAGAGAGATGACTTACCGCAGCCGACCTGTCCTACAATCATGGTTAGCTGGCCTGTGAGAGAGGAAGCACGCGTGAGCCTCTGAGTTACCAAATGCTCACCACCATATTCTGCGTATCTGATGTGATTCTGTACCTTGAGGGATTCGAATATCTATGTTGGACAATGCTGGAGGACCTTCAGGTGTCCAAGTGAAAAATCCATTTGTGATCTATGCCAAGATGGAGACAAATGAAAAACACAAAACAGGTTATAGGGCTGACTCCTTTTTCACTGTAACTCAAGCAAGCAAAATGATCAGAAAATTGTGGAAAAGTCTAGCGAGAAATTTGCTGTTGCTGTTTAGGGTTTGTATTGTTATTTGTCAGGTGTGTTCATGAAATAAGTGAAACAACTCCAACATGATTAAATGTTTGACAAGGTCTTGGTTTGCTCTCTGCATTGCAGCAAATGTCACTCCTGATGCACTGCAGCATATGCAGCAATTACACAGTACAAGTCCGAAGCACCTCTGCAGAATTTTCCAGAGATATTACTGCCTACTACAATATTTTCCTTAATATTTCCGATATGATTCTCAGTTATAGGTAACATAGGCATTGCTTAGAACAAGTCAATCTTTTCATAAAGCAATCTCCACCTCCTCCTCAGCACCACTTTCCTCCCAAAAAAGACACAAAAAGCCTGTTCAGGACTTCAGGTACAAGAGCTGTGGATACTGGGCCAGGGGATAGTCTGAAGGACAGGAGATAGCGGCTATTTCACAGCTCTGTGTATACACTTGGTCCTGTTCTCTCCTTGCTCACATTTTGAGAACAACTGAAATCTACCAAGGCTTTCAGCAACATAAGGCACAACATTTTTGCTCTGAAAAAAATGGGAGAAAAAAAAGAAAAAAGAAAAAGAACCCATTTCCTTTATCTTATGAAAAAGATCTGAAAAGAACAAGTGAAAGCAAACATGGCACTCTTCCCTCTAGACTAACACAGAGGGACAAAGAATCCTCTCTCAAAGCTCCCTGCATGGGGAACGGGCAGCAAACAGACAGTGCTTAGTAACTACAGAGCTTCCCTTACCCCAGGGCTGGCTAGCTGCCTCCAAGGATGGTGTCAGCAGATGGAGCCAGAGATTGTAACTGGTTCTCTCCTTGGACTCAGCTCCTCAAAACAACTGCCCTTGCAGAGTTACTGTGCTTCCTGCCCCTGTCTGACAGGGGGCTCCAAGGTGCCTTTTGTTCCTTAAAGGAAACCTCAAAGCCTCTTTCATATTTTCCTCTTATTTCTTATAATCTATTCAAGAAGGATCCTGCACCAAGACAGGACATGAAAACAGAGCCTCTTAAACCCTGAATGAACTAACCAGTTGTCCTACTTAGACTCATTAAACTGAATTATTCATTCTCTTATGCCAGAAATGCAAATGTAATAGCAGACATGCTAAATAAATAGCCCATCACTATAACAACCGTCAGGATTTGTATTACTTATGACTGTTTCTATAGCAAATCAAGAACATCAGGCTTCAAAGTGCCATGGGCAATTCTAATTCTTTCTTTGGAGAAGTTGAAGATTCTTGTAAAGAAAGCAGGACTAATGACAAATACTTCAAATGGAAAATTGTTGCGTGAGTTCTAGAGAGGATATACACAGCTAACCATAATATAGGCATCAGTAATCAGTTCTTAAAGTGGAAGGCAATAGGAAAGAATGGGGGAGGTTAATCTTTGATATAAAGAGAAGTGACTGGCAGCTTCAAATCAAATGTTGGTTCTTGAATGTGAAACTCTGCCATGAGTATATAAAAATAATTAGCCAGTTTTAGTAACAGTGTTATTGGAGTGACCTTTATATCACCTTTACACAAAAATCATCAGCTTCTGTGATGGTAATGGGTCTCCTCATGTGAGAGCTGTAATTGTTCCAGTCCTCCCGGGCAGGCCTCTTGCGGTTAACGACTTTGAGTGGCTGTGCAAAACCAGGAAGAGAAATACACAATAGTTGATGGCAACACTAGCAAAATATCCTAAAATATCCTACAAGCACCCACATTATTGTCCATGTCAAGTACAGGTTACTGACATGAGTTTTTGCAATGGGTAATTAGCAGGAAGTAGGAAAGTACAAAATTTATTCTCAGAACAAACCAATATAGACACTTGGACTACAGTTAAACATTATTACTCACCACTGCCTGGTATTTGCTGTGATTATCCGCACTTCTTAGCTCTGAACATTTATCATGCTCTTCTCCAATTTCTTCACTTGACAAAAATTCACTCAGTTTCTGTACACTGAAAGGGAAAAAATTACAGCTCAATCCAAATGCAAAATTTTTGTTCGCCACAGTGTTTATTATAGAATATCCCCTCCAGTGCTTCTCCAACTGTGGTTTGTTTTCTTTTTGTTATAGGCTTATAAAAACCTGCTGTGAGATGTCACAGCAAAGAAGTTGCCAAACTGCACTCTATTTTCTATTAAGAGCTATGATATTTTAATAGTTTGTGCAGATGCTTAAATCTTTTAGAGATATTACACAAAATTTTCTTTCAGTCAGTGTGACAGAGACTAGCTCCAATTGTAGCTGGTTTTAGAAGCCAAATGCCACAGTAGAAGAATTTGTCATTTATATTTCTGAAGTGCTGCACTATCAGTTCTATTGAACAGTCTTAAAAACACTAGGAGTTTGACAAAATAGACCTACGTATGTCTAGCACAAAGATCCAGAGAACAGTACTAGTTCAGTGAACCAGATGCCTAACAGAACATTTTAATGCCTTAAAATAAACCAGATGGTGACTTAGCCACTGTCAAACAAATTGGCATGACCTACATTTTCTGTAGGCAAACCATGCTGACACTTGAGTAACTGTTTTGCATGTGTAGAGAGCAGATAGGAAATGGTCCCTATGTATCTGCGTCAGTGTAGAGGGAGAGGAAAGAAGGTAGTAGGGACATGCTCTTGCACCACGCATACCCATCAAAAATCATGTCTTTATAAAGTAACTGGTAGCTTGAGTTGTGTTCTCTGCTCCCCGATTGTTCATCAAGGTGGCTGTGCTCTAAACGCCAAGGCTTTTATCTGCAAGCACTCCACCCAATACTCCACCTAACTCTCTTCTTGCTTCTTCTGTGGTAGGTGCAGAGAAAAAACAGAAGCTTACAACTGCAAAAATATCTTGTTAGAGTCATACTTCAGGCTGCTGCACTTTCTAGAATAGATTAAAAGTACGTGTACTGTAGAGCTCTAGCTGACACTGCAATTTCACAGGTTGCAACTATAATTACTAGAATTTCGATTTCTCACTGGGATCTTATTTTTAATGGACATATTGATTAAAGCTGTTATTTGAACAGCTGACTGAAAAAGTGGTTTCATACTAAATCCAGTTAGACACATAATTCTGGTCTTGCTATCTGACCTTTCTGCTGAAGGACAATGGCTCACAATATCCTTTGTCCTTGAAGACCTCACACCTACAAAATACATCAATTGGCATTAATAGCATCAACACTCTTGTATTAAAAATATTTTTCAAAAAGTTAACAGAATTTCTCACCTTGTTAAAAGCCTTCAGTGGTTCCCTCCCTGAATCAGAAGCAAAACTCTTGGCCCATAACTTGGGAGTTGGCATATGAATTGAAAATACCTGGGATATGCTTCTGGAACATTTTATGGGGGGTGCTCAGAAGACAGAAACTACCACTGTCATTGGCAGTGGTATAGAGCAACGCTAGCTGAATTGCCTCAGTATAAATAGCCAGAAAAAGGGAACATGCCATCTGCATTACTGCATGTGAGCCAGAGATTCCTGTCTGCGCTGCAAGCAGCAGGGCAGTAGCTTCCTAACAGGAAGATAATTACAGAATAACTCACAGACATCACCTGGCTAGTGACTATTCATAATTGGTTGATACTAATTCTATTAGAATCGTCACTTTGCCATTATCTACCACATAACTCGTTTATAAATAAATTCTTAGACAAGCCTAAATAAATGCTTATTACAGTGCCAGAATGGGTCCCCAGATATTTGGCTGGCTGCAATCTCAGCTTGACAATTTGCTGTGCCCTAGGGACCACCACAGCAGCTGCGCAGCGCATGCAGCTGACGTACTCGCGTTTCACACCTCCTAGGAGAGAGGACATGGCCATGACTTTGCCCTGTCAGGTAATGCTGCAATCTTGGCTTCCTGCAGTCATCTTCTTCCCCATCTCCAAAGCAGCACAAAGGCAGAAAAAGCTCCAGCTCATTCTTTTCCATTGTTTACATGAGCTATCACTGTGCTACTGAACAAAATTCATACTCTCAGAGGTGGGAGGAAAGATTAATTTTACAGTTCTCACCTCACTAATGCTTTGACTGTAGATCTGACCACACTGGAGAGCAGAAACAAGGGAGACACAAGAATGTGAAATAGAGAGATCGAGGCAAAGGCCACAGATGGGGAGAAGTCAGCATCTCTTGTCAGATGAGCATGGACCACAAATGTCTACAAAGATACAGATGTTATCAGCAGCAGTTAGTCTTGAAGAAAGAGACACATCAACACTTCATACTTCCCAAACATTTCATTTACTACCACATATATCGGCATCGTAATTTATATTCTCTTAGCAGTCTGGAGAGTGCTGTATGCTCCTGGCTGCTTCTGGTCACAAGGGGTGACAAGTATGTTTTCCATTCTCTCTCAAAGAGTTGCAGAACAGGGTTGCATCCTTTTCTTCTCTTCCTCATTTCCATATCACTTATATTTGCAAATGCAGTTGTAAATAATTCTCCTTAGGAAAGTCCATACTTACTATAAGTACTGCTGCAATTGGTATTGCTGCATTCATAAAAACTGTGAAAGGAAACATGTAGGAAGATTTAGATACGATTTCCATTCAGATAAAAACTAAATGTTGCTAAAATATTATTAACACTAATCTTTGTTGATACAAAGTAGTAGTAGTGATTTTCTACACTAAAAACAGGAAAAAAGATCCACTATCTACACATACAACAACTTTTTTTTTTCTTTTTTTTTTTTTTTAATGCCTGCAGTTAACTTCTCTTCACAGTACCAGAACACACAGAACCCATCAGTGCATCCTAGAAGAGATGAGAAACCTACAGTTTTTGCAGCTGCTATGAGCTCAGGAGCTGCTCAGGTGCAGGACCATGCACCTGAGCACCTCTGTCCCGCAAGAGACACAAGTGCCAAGCTGGCGCAGGGTCTGGTGGGTGATTTGATTCCCTGGCTGTGCAAGGACAGGAGAGGTGCTGGCCGAGGCTGTGCAAGTCGCACGTTGGGGCTGCCCTGCAGGCTGGCCGCACACCTAGCGCTGCCCATCTCCGAGCAGACCCACTAACATGTACGGCTTGGGACCTATCTCTGTGGCATCTCTTCTGAAGCGTGGGCCTTGGGGCTTGCTCTGGTTTTGGGATACAGCTCAAGGGAACTGTGCTACCACAGACAGATTGCTGTGGAGTTAAGCCAGGTGGCTTACTCGTTTTAGATAGGCATAATTACACTTGCTTTGCCAGGTTTGGCTACTTTGACTGCGAATATCCCTGGAAATGTTTGTATAGATTCCAGCCTACCTAAATGCAAATAATGAACACGCTTCTTCCCTGACCTCTGCATCATTTGTCCCTGGGTGCTGGATTCCCTCACTGTAGCAGGTCATCTCTACCTTGTAGAGGTTATTAACCAGATGGTTAGGGAGAAGCAAGCAACTACAGTTTCAGCAGAGGGACCTCTTTTAGACTGGACAGAAATACAGATTTAAAAAGCTGCAAAAACCTTCTGTCCATCTAGGTCAGAACCATAGCTATGACTGACCATATCCCAAACTCATGACTCCACTCCCTGAGGATACAATTTCACGTACATGACAAGCATTCTGGTTTGACCTTTGCTCAATTTTATTTCACAACCAAAATAATACTAGGAAGAGCTAATTTTACAGCAGTTCTTACAGTAGCCACGAACAATTCATGTACAAAATGTACACAGGCAAGTGGGTGGCAGGCACACACAGAAAAACATTTCCATGCTGTCCTGAAGTTTTCTTGAAGTGTAGTCCATATTGTCCTGAAACTTGCAGATCTGTTTTCTGTAAGCCTACAAAAAACTATCCCTCCTGAGTAGAAGTAGATACAACCATGTTTTCATTAATGTGAATAGCTAAATATATTTGAAAAAGAATTTAAGAGTCCATCCAAAAAATGTATTTTAAACCAAATAAGGACTTTTTTTTTTCAGTTTTCTTGTTGCTATGAAATCCCCACCTTCTCTCTTGACCAATAAGACATAAAAATCTTGGTCATTCCCATCCTTTTTTACCTTTCTTAAAAAAAATACATTCACTATCAACTGCATACCACAAATAATAATACATAAGAGAAAGTAAGTGAACACATTATCACCATGTCCTTAAGAGGCAACAAACACTAGAACCCACATAGCACAGAGCACAGTATGTCTGATAATAATGACATACCTTCAAGATTCAACATGTATGTTTCTTTATCATTTAAACAAAGCCTAATTTCATATTGAGAGGCCAGTACACCTCACCGTTTTGCTCCTGTGGCTACTGGGATTGGGCAGACTGCTGATTCTTACCTAAATTAACTGAAACAACCTACACTGAGAATTGGTAACCTGATCAGTAACCGATAATGCAGTAGGGCTTCAGCTGATTGATGGACTTTTAAGAGGAGACTTACTGGATATGGAGGTATAGAGGGCAAAAGCCTTGAGGCTGGTCATTTCTTTTTGTCTTGTTTCCTCTACACTGCTGTGAAAGATGTGTTCCCAAGCATAGAGTTTAAGGAGTTTAATGCCTCGAAGCATCTCATTTGTCTTCTTCAGTCTCTCGTTGGAATACTCCTGCAATATTTACATAAATACTTATATACAAGAAAGTAGTTAAAGCACCTGACTACTGAACACAAAGCTCTCGCGCAAAAATTTTCTACAGGCCTTAATGAAGCATACATTCCTAGCTCTGTCCATTCTGACACTTTGTTGTTCAGAGGTGACATTCCCTAGAGCTCCTCTGTGAAAAGCCAGTGGGTTTGTACTCCTAAATCACATAGTTGGCATTGAAAACTACACCCCACTGCCAACTTTTTGATCATTTTCAAGCCAGTCTCACATGATCACCACCACCTAGGAGAGCAGCTGGATTTTCCAAAGGCACATTTGTGATGACGGACAGAGGAGAACAGAACTATTAGCCAAGCTATGAATGGGCACGCAACTCTGCCCATATGGAGATGACAGTGCTGGGCTGCAGAGCAACAAGGCTGCCTTAGCAAGAAGACGTGATCACTACAGGGGGCCTCAATGCTGAGCAAGTCACCTGGCTCAGGAGCAGCTGCCTCCAGCTTTCAGGGGAGCTCAGGGACCCTTTGCACCACATGCACTGCAGAACGGAGACCTGCTTCAGCACATGTCACTCCCACCCGCAGGACTTTCTATTACAGACTTAAGTTTGTCACCTTTTCACCTTCTGGCACTCATCGTTCTTGAACATTAAAAAAATATCTGATACTCAGCTGTTGTTCAATACCAATTTAGGCTTTGCAATTCTAAGCCCAGGCCAATGTGTAAGTGTCATGTATTTGTTGCGTGTGATTTTGAGGACACTTACCAGTGTGCTTCTCTGCGCCTGTGAAAGTTTCGTTGCTACAAAGTACTGAACCGGTGCAAGCACTATGATTACTGCTGCTCCAATTAAGGCACTGATTCCAAGAAGGTAGTAGAGCAGAAGAACTCCTACAATTATCTGTCGGAAGAGAGAGAGTGAAGGGGAAAACTTAGGATAACTTCACTCTGCACGTGCCCCACAAAGAGCCATCACAGGTAACTGGACAGCACGTTGCATTCAAAGCAACAGTTCACTGCAGCTAAACCTGCCCATGAGCTTCCTATGTTCTGCATTATGGGCAGAAACAGCACTGTTTGGTATGAGTAATCAAGAGATTCTATCTAATAAAGAAATATATAAATCAACCAAAAGACCTAACCTGACTGATCTAAAAGGTGACTTACTTCCTAAGTATTTATTTAGGAAATATGTGGTATCAAAGTAGCAAAGTCCTCCTGTACATATAGAGATACAGTATAAAAAAAGTAAAACTAATGGTTAAACAATGACTTTTTTGTTTGTTTGTTTAATTTTGGTTTTGAGTAAGAGTGAACAATCTGCTTCTATCTGATGTCAGGAACTTCATGAATACATGAATCTAATGAAAGTATCCAAGTCCTGAAACAAATGGTTTTGGTATAGTGCACTTCCAGGACAATAAATAAAAAAAAATACAAATGAAGATACTCACAGCACATGCAATCTAGTTTTCAAAACACAGGAATGGATTGACCACTGTACAGTAATAGTTGTTTGAAAACAAGAAGTTAGGATGGAGCACTGCCCCCCACACTACTGCTGCCCCATCACTGGTTCAGTGTCAAGGTCATTAAGGGAATATTCTGCTTCTAGCAAAAGAACCACTGTTTCTTGCATTAAAAAAAAGTGAGACAAGTACAATAACAACTGGCTCCAGCAGGAGGTGCAAGCTCAGAGTCCTTTTTTTTTTCCTAAGAAAGTCATTATTTTTAATAATAATGCCATATTTTCAATAGATTAAAATAAACCCATTTGCATCTTTTTCTTTGTACTGTAATAAAAAGATAATTTTGTTCATTATCTTGATCATATATGACAGAAAGATACATATTCTCAATTTATGTATGAGGATACTAGTGTCAAAAGTGTGCTAGAATCTGCATAAATAATTGAGGGTGATTCTTGTATTTATCATACTGTATACTACACAGCCAGGAAGGAAAAATTAAGCAGATAATACCAGACCTGCTCAAGAGTCTGCAGCAGAACTCTCATTAATATTTCTGAGAGGATAATAATCATGTGTTTAGACAACAGCGTAATGAAACACTTTGCTTCCCTTTCATCAAAATCTCAAAGCTCGTCTTTGCCCGAGATATGTACCATGAACAGGACGTTCACTGATGGCTCTGGTTGTCATTACGAATGAAAGGAGTCTAGTGTGTCGATTACCTACTGAAGATAGGAAATTCTTTCAGCTTTGCAAACACTTTTGAAAGAGACAAGAGACAAGAGTCCTTTTATTACAACTGCAAAACTATCCCTGCCAATAAATCAGTGATGCGAAAATACAAGATTTTTTAATAATCACAATGGAATCAAACATAGCTGCTTGTAAGACGGAGGCTAAATGAAGTTTTTATTGGCCCTCAGTTGGCTCCCAGGGTTTGAGCCAAACCTACTGAGGTCACCTTTCAACACAATGATAAAGCTCCTATTGACTGCAGTCAGAGCAAAGATGGGGCTCAAATTATCTAAACTATATAGAAAAATCTAAGCTTTTATAAATGGCTAGACGTTCCAGTCAAGGGTAATTACAAAATCCAAAGCAGATGCTGAAATGCTGCTTGTTTGGTTAAGAGCTAAAAACAATTAAAAACTTGTTTTAAAGCAATTTTGCTTGTTTAGCCTTTTATTAGAAGTCTCCTGAGCATTCAGTAATTGCTTTCACTGCCTCACAGAAGCAGATCTGAGTGAACGTTACAGAAACGAGTTTTGGAGTGGCCTTAATGACAAATATGACTCCTTGGTAGGTAGCTCACAATGCACGCAGCAGCCACAAAATCTGAGCATGCTTTAACACAGATTGTCTTAATTCACTAAAGAACACCACACGGTGAACGGTAATGCAAAATGCAATTCTGCAAATATGATTGTATCTTGTGAAAAGATAACAGACTTTGATCTTGACTTGACAGACACAGATCTTGACTAGGGAAAATAATTAAACTAGGCTTTTTTTCACCCTTCTCCAGATTACAGAGTCAATCTGGCTTTCTGTGCAACCACAGGAAGCTGAAGCCAGCACAAAGGTCCTCTGACTTACAGAAAAAGATTTCTGGTCCATCTGCTCAACTCTAGTATGTAACTTTACCTTCAGAAGAGGATCCTGATTTTCTGATGGCAAACTAGTGCTTTAGTCACCTGATTACTACCATTTTTTTTTAAAAGAACTTCTGAATATAGTACCTGTTATTTCTTTCTTCAGTGTCTTATGGGAGATAGCTGCTATCAGATGTTTAAGGAGGCAGTCACTCACAGAATCGCAGAATTGTTGAGGTTTGAAGGATCCTCTGTAGATCATTGCATCCAGCCCCCCTGCTCAAGCAGGGTCACCTACAGCATGTTCCCCAGGACCATGTCCAGGCAGGTCTTCAATATCTCCAAGGAAGGAGACTCCACAACCTCTCTGGGCAACCTCTCCCAGTGCTCAGTCATCCTCAACACTTCTTTATGAAGTTTTCCCTTACTTTCAGAGAGAAATTCCTGTGTTTCAATTTGTGCCTGTTGCCTCTCATCACCAAGGACCTCATGAAAGGAGTCTGGCCCCATTGTCTTTACACATTTCCCTTCAGATATTTTCAGATACATTGACAAGACCTCCTGCAAACCTTATGTTTTCCAGGTGACTTCTAAAGCCATGTTATAAGCTGGAAACATGAGTAGTCACCTGCAGTCCAGCAGATACAGACTGAGCAAAACAATTTAATTTTGGCTAAAAGCAGGCAACATAAAACACAAAACACTCAAGCTGACTATTTGCAGCTGACTTCCACACCATTCAAGTTAGCCTCTGTATAGTGATCAAACTAAACAAACAGTGATGAACACTGCAGAGCTTTCACCAAAGTTTTTGAAAAATAAATACTACATTTAGAAAACAATGGGTGAATTTAAAGTCTTACTTTTGCCAGTGAGACACTTGCAACAAAAACAGACTGAGTAGCCCAAAGAAAATAGAAAAAACTGCAGTGTACTGTATTTATTTCAGAGAAAACTGTCAGCTTTCTTGGGAAATTCCTAAATGGCAGCTGTTTTTTTGTTGTTCTTGTTGTTGATGCTTTTTTTTGTTAGTGGTGGTTTGTTTCAGTTTTAGGTACTGAATCTTTCCAAGTAATTTGCAGTCCTACACAGATCATTTTTCACCCTTATTAAAACAAAGATTATACCCAGATAGCTCTGACCTCCTGTAACTCTGATTCTGCCTTACCCTTTTACTAGAATAAATTTGATTAATCACATGGCCATGCAGTGAGATGAGACACTTAGCATGGAGTTAAAGGAGCAACTTACACAAAAAAAAAAAAAAAAAAAAAAAAAGCAGATTAGTTTTTCAGGAGGTTTTTTTTTTTTCTCCACAAAATCCCATTTCAGTATTAAAATATGTTTAGATTAATTTACACCAGTCCTGATAACACCCTCTGAGGTGGGACTTTGCTCTCCTTGTCTTAAAGACTTTAGCAAGACACAGCTGTACTTCAGGGAGCATTATATATGCTACAGGGTTAAGGGACACAGAACCAGGAATTACTCAGCTGAGTACAACTGAAGACAGTGATCTACATCACGTTATCTACATGGGAAAAGAGATTTAAGGGATATGAGTGAGTAGAGACACCAGGCCAAGGACACTGCAGAGGATAATGTAGCAAACTAACTTCATATAACAACATTTCATATATTTGAATCTGCCATCCACGAGGCAACAGTAGGTTTAAGTATTGTGCAAAGGGCTTATGGTATTTTTGAACAACCTGCTCCTTTCATTATCTCTTCCACTGCAATTCCGAAGAGAAATGATTGCAATATATTCCAGCAGTATATTCCACTGTATATATTCCACTATATACTATAGCAATATAACCTGCAGAACCCTATAAATTCTTGCTACAAATGCTAAATATGTGGCAGTAGTCCAGTTCAGGATCCTAATGCAATCTTAAATATCAAAAGTCCTGTCACAGACATGTATTACATAAAATGTTTCTAGACATCAGTAATTTGAAAGTTTATTTCAAGTTATTGGTTATCTTCTTTAAAATCTCTATTCTCATTAAATTCTTAAGTGCACAATCACTACTGAGCTGAGTTACATTCAGCCTCCTTACCTGCACTGGCATAGCCCACAGGTTGGGGCAGAGGAAGAAAAACCACATCAGCTGGTTTGTATCGATGGCAACCAGGTTACAGATCTGGCCTGCTGTCATCTCCCCCATAGACATGTTAGACGTTGAAAGCTGCATAATTTTATTGTATATTTTTGTCTGGAAAGCAGAACAAACAGTGTCAGCGTACACAAACTAATATCTTCAGCTCCAACTAAAATAGAAGCCATAGTTCAAAGGGTAACCTTTCTAAAACCTGGAATGAAGAGCTTTAGGTTGCCTTTTATGTACAATTCAGTTTTAAACTACTGTTCAGCAGCATAAAACTCAGTACAGTTAGGTTAATAATGATCAAGCAAGTATCCTCTTGCTGCATTCCTGTGAATCAGTAAAAGAATGAAACTTCTATTGCCCAGGAAGCCCAAAGATGTATTTGTGATTACTATTTATGCCTCCAGCTTCTCCACATAGCCCTCCTTCTACTAGTGCTAATAACTTCATTATTATATTGGATATATAATGTTTAATCTATAATATTCCTTGTTCTTTTTCTCTAACAATTGATTTGGGTCTCATCGAACCCCAGACCCGGGTTCCTGGATGAGAATGTTACGTCCGAATGGAGAGCTCAGAACCATTACAGACTTCAGTTTGCAGATGAAGACTGTAGCAGGTCTGCTTCTGTACTGACCTTCTGGAGAGCAGCTCTGCAGAAGGACCTGGTATCATCACAAGTTGACCATGAGGCAGCAGTGTGCCCTCGTGGCCAAGGCGGCCAATGGCATCCTGGGGTGCGTTAAGAAGAGAGTGTCCAGCAGGTCGAGGGAGGTGATCCTGCCCCTCTACTCAGCCCTGGTGAGGACACACCTGGAGCACTGTGTCCAGTTCAGGGGCCCCCAGTACAGGAGGGACATGGAGCTACTGGAGGCCAACACAGGCCTCCAAGCACGATCAGGGGCCTGAAATACCTTCTGCCCTCTGAAGAAAGATCAAGAGAGTTGGATCTGTACAGCCTGAAGAAGAGAAGGCTGAGGGGGGATCTAATCAGTGTCTGTTAAGTACCTCAAGGGAGGCAGTGAGGAGGATAGTGCTGGCCTCTTTTCAGTGGTGGCCACTGATAGGACTAGAGGAAACAGCCAGAAACTAAAGCATTAAAAATTCCACAGGAACTTAAGGAAAAATTTCTTAACAATGAGGGTGACAGAGCACTGGAACAGGTTGCCAAGAGAGGCTGTGGAGTCTCCTTCTCCGGAGATCTTCAAAACCCGCTTGGACGCAGTCCTGTGCCACATACTCTAGGTGACCCTGCGTGTGCAGGGGGCTGGATTAGATGATCTCGGGAGGTCCCTTCCAACCTTAACAATTCTATGATTCCATGAATTAATCTGTAATTTCATAACAGAACTAGGCACCACAGCCAAAAAATTTAAAACGCAGTAATGAAAGTGTACCTTTTCCAGCTTGTACTGTAAAAAGGCTACATGGGGAGGCTTTGCAGTCATGAAACTTAGCTGATCGGACACACCCTGACTGAAATGCCTTCATATCAAGTGCCAGCTACCAATCACAAGGCATGAAATTACATATGGCATGTAGAACAGGTGCAGGTTTATACAGGGGAGAAAAAGCAATTAAAAATGAAAGAGAAGTTAAAAAATAGGGAAAAAAGAGAAAATTAAAAAAGGTACTTTCCTGGCAAGGAGACTGTCATTAACACTAATCTTCATGCCTATAGGATGAGTGCCCCACATTTCCCAATTTGAATGGGAAGAATGCTGGCAGTTATCTGAACCTCTGAGTAACACACAGTGCACAGAACATGAGCCTTTTCTTGTATCAAATTTGATAGAGATGTAATATTACGCTCCCATAATTCACCTTTACCATTTTCTAATTGCTGCGGTCAATGGTCTTTTCAACTAGGGGTGGCTCTTCTGCTCGATACAAAGCATATAATTTTGTTGTATATTTTCCATTTCTTCAAAATTGTCTATTGCACTCTAATAAGGGAAAAACAACGGAAGAAATCCAAAATATGGCAGCTAACAAGTGCTCACAAGTGCACGATCAAAAGAGGATTAAGTAATTATGCTGCTATTGAAAGCATCCATCTATCACACAGACTCTCACAGTGACCTACACCTCACTTTACTTTACAAGGTTGGCTTTTAAGCTGTCAGAGGGTAGGTTTCAGCCAGTGCATTTGTCAGTATCCTGTTGCACCTAATCGCCTAATTCTCACCTCATTTACTCCTTTTCCAGGCACAGATCTTTGATCTGCTATTCACAGTTATGCAATAATTATAGCCTCCGTTTCACCTGTTTTATTTACACTAATTACTGACTCTGCTGTGCCTGCTGGATTTTGAGGCACTATCCCTGGAAGAACAAAAGCAAAAATAAATAGTACTCCATGCATTGGGCCAGAAGTATATTTAAAAGACGTTTAATACATGTATAATTTGTGGGGGATGTTACAAAAAATGCAGCTTTTAGATGGGAGATGTGTATTTTAGAATGTAGATTCTTTTAGAAATTGCATTCAGTTTTTTGTCAGCAATCTTATCCTCCAAGGTAAGAGGAAATACAATAGTTTATATAGTAGACAAATACTTACAAACAATCTTCAAATGATGCAGAGGAGACAGACAGAATACAGGTCTAAATTAACAAATAGCTCTTGAATGCCAATGCTTATATGGAATGCATTTCAGAAGAGGACCAGGTCAGTTGCTAATGCAGTTCAGCTTTTATCTCTAATGTATAGGTATACCTATAGGTATAGGTATAATTGTATGGAAACAGTTTAAATAGTGTAGTTAATAACATATTGTCTACCTGTATTGCACCTCTCAAGTTGATTCCCGTTTCAATAGCAACATAGTATGATGCTTGGAGAAATGTCCTTTGCAACAGAAGGGCAAAAAATAAGAGCACAGCCAAGACATAAGCATTCGACAGGAACTCTTGAGATGAAATAAAGAAAACACCAAGAATTCTGGTCTATAAAAAAACAGAAAGTTATAAATCAGGTGTAATTGTAATTTAACTGACAGTTTTGTGTAATTAATAAGCAGAACTATTCTGTTTATTACCTTAAAAGTTCTCTGAACAAGATCTAAAATCTCACAGTTTATCTGTTTAAGGAGACACACATGTAATATGCAATACAGTAGGCTTTATTTACATGTAAGATGACATTTATTGGATTTCTGGTATCCTTCCAGAATTCTAAGACAGACACCTTGGGCAAATGCCCATATGGAGTTACTTGAAAACATCCACTACCCATTGCCGGAAAGGACTATGTAATATCCTTTGAGGCTCATCTCCTTATTTTGGCACTTCAGGTTGCCAGACCATAAAATTACCTTCGCAATTTGTTGGAAAATACATCCTTTCAACTTCTAGAAATATACACATGATTTTGGTTTGTGGCATCTAACAGGCTCATTCAGCATTTTTTATTAGTAGCCATTACCTCCTTAGGAAGTCCATGAGATCACTGCAGGGCATTTTGAAGCATTCCTACAGTTTACTGGCAAAGCAGCACATTTATTCTAGATTTAATAACCCTTGGTGCCACTACTAGTTGAGTAGATGGCTTACCTTGGGAAGCCTTCTCAAACCAAAGTGTCTGACTTCCTCTTTCTCCCCTTGTAAAGAAATAGGAAGTGATCACTTCCTATTCCCTCTCTGCAAGGCTGCTTGTCATTCACACTGCTGAAGTACTCCCTGCTTGGCACATTTCTTCAAGCCTGCCTTTTTTTTTTTTTTTTTTTTTTTTCCCTCTCCTCCTGTTGACAATACTTCCAAGACAGGTCTAACATTTAATAATTATATTTCACAAACACTGATGCCTATACATTTTTCTTTTCAGATCCAAGGTATGTCCTGCAATTAACTCATTACAGAGGCCCCACGTGACAAGCTACACTAATGCTAAACTTAAAAGCTGGAGTTTCATACAATGAGGTTGAGCTAGTAAAAGAGGAAAAAAAGACTTCGCACCCTTTATTTTACCTAGTTTGTTCCAAGCAAGTGGCATGTTGCTTACTGTGTGCTAGAACTGGAACTCACTGTATCTCTTCCTGAGCCAATTCTAAGACTAACAATAGAAAATCATCTCAGGATGCCTTCTGATGAAGACAAAGCTAGAACAACATACACATCTGTGACACCAGGACATTACGAGTGTCAAGGTGCTCATAAGGCAGCACAGAGTGAGCATTATAGTGACTCTGAACCATGATGGTTGCACATTGAGCTGTACTAGATCAAAGGTAGTGACTGAAGCAGAGCAATTTTAATGGTGTCCTACATATACATGTGGCTAATTCTGCTTCTGCTGTTTAAAAAAAGCAAGTAGTTTTTTATGTCACTGTGCTTTGACAGATGATGTTTTTCTAGCAGTGAGATTTTGGTGCAGTGCTGATTCACATTTAGAACATTATGTAATAGACAAGTGGGGAGGAAATGTGGGATAAATCTGCCTGTTCTCTTTTCTAGTACACAACTTGAGAGAAAAAGACTCATATATCCACACATACATAAACCTCATACACATATACACACACACACTCTACTTTCACCAAGGTATTCTTAAAATCTTATATGCATTATCAGACCAATATGGTTTACAAAGTCACTGAACATCTATGTGACCAGATTATGAAACTGTATAAGTGTACTTGTCAGTCTGAAGCAAATACAAAGAAATAACTGAATGTTTACTGAATGTTTCCTTTAATGTACGTAACCTTAAGAAGCCAATGCAAATAATGAGATTTTATTTTTAAAAATGGCTTTGGGGACATTATGGAACATAATTCTTGTCCTCAAGTCATGTGACCACTCTGGTCTGCTTCAGTACCCTATCTTTTCAGTGATTTCAAAATAATGCTACTAGTAATGCTAGTACCAGTAGGCCTAACCAGTAGAAGGCTAAATAATAAAAGGACATTTTTCTAAATAATTAAACCTTGAGTCCCACTGCCTTAAGTGGCCATACCAAGCCTTTTGCTTCTTTTGGACATAAAACTTTTAGTTATTTAAAAAAAAAAAAAGTAGTTTTGATATTTACTTTGAATAGGTTATATCATCAAACATTCCTAATATTAAAAATGCCAATCTTAACATTGCAATGTTGAAATGCTGGGTGTATATAAAGGTTATCATTCTGTAACTCTTCTTCAGGGCTAAATGATTAATACAGAAAAAAATTTATGACCTCAGAAAGGTCTGTGGTGGCCACTAATATTGATACTGTGGTTATAAATAAACATGAAGAGCATGACAGAACTTAAGATGTGATCGTGCTCTGTGGTACTAACTAAAGCAGTTAATGCTGTCCGTGATACCCACGTGATCTAGGAGTTCCAGCTCTGTGGTCATTTATATCTGTCACAAAGGCCTGAAGAATGGAACAAATAATATATCTTATGATTTATCTCCTTGTCTTCAGTTTCACAAATAGAATTTTAGTTTGAAATATATAGTTGATTCATTACAACATTTCTACAATCTGCACTATTTAAAGTGAAGAAATGTCATGTTAAAAGATGGCTAAAAGACATCCTCTGGGGTACACATAGCTTGTGTTCCTTATCAGATTCTGTCTCAGGATTTTTCCAAATCCTTCAAAGTCAGCAGCACAACATACATGAGTAACATCTGCTCAACTTATAATTACCTTCATAAAAGTGTCTTACAAGACTTGTTCCCTACAACTACATAGTCCTCTGTAACAAACAGTTAGGATGGCAATATTTTCCTTTCTGATTCATTGCAAGTTAGGATGCAATTTTTCTGGCAGAAGGGTAGGTGTACACTTTTCAAAATAAACTCTGTTGGTTAGGTGTTTATATATACGTGGGAGTTCTCCTGAACCCACTGGTCTGTTTATATATGCTTTGATTAGAAAAATCAACATATATTTAAGGTATTTCTAACAATTCAGTAAAAGCAATTTTCAAAGATAGAGGTACTTACTCTTCTTGAAAGGAAACAAACAAACAAACAAAAAAAAAAAAAAAAAAAAAAAACAAGCAACGCCAGTTCAGAAAGAAAGAAAAAGCCTCTCTGGAGTCCTTGGAGATGAATTATTCCCTTACTAACACATATGGGATGGGCTATTACCATCACAGAATAAATCAGTTATTCAATTTCCAAATGGTATAATGTCTAGCTACCATTTAGCTAGACACGGTGAGGGTGTAAAGGCTAGATGAGACTGTCCAAGGCCTATTTGCTCCAGACCTGAGCATTTTTCACAGGGGAACAATAGCTGACATTTCAGAAGGAAAATTAAACAAGATTATCTGTAAATAGTGATGTGGTATAATTTCATCTGAAAGAGTAATTGTTCCAACCAAATCATCAATTAACAGCTGAAAAGCTTCCTCCATCCCTAGCAGCAACACCAGGCCATACAGTCTTATTTTTTCATTTCCCTCTTTAAAACGTTTCCATTGAATGAACTGGCTGTATTTAATAGCCCCCAAATATTAGGATAAGGACTGCAAAGTAGATAAAATGATTAATTTTGGTCTGAAGCCTTTGTTAAGCTTTCTGCAACATATCTGATATTTTTCAATATTTACGGTGTACCTAATCCAAAGTGTATTCAAATAAATGGGAGTATTTCCATCAGCATTAACAGACTTTCGAAGCAGAGTCTTATAGTAAACAGTACTTAATTTGCCAAAATAAAGTCATCTTCTTTTCACAGAAAATGAAGTCTAACTAACCACATCTTATTATAAATTAATGCTTCCCAAAATTTATTTCCCTCCGCCTCTTTTTTTTTTTTTTTTTTTTTTTTAAAAGAATCAGCATGGATGTCTTTCTTGGGGACCATCTATTTCAGTAGCTTCCTTTAAATAATTTTTTTACTTGACCTTTCAAAACCAGTTTCCCCAAAGACATCAGTGGAAATTCTTTGTTACAAATAAATCATTTGGCCATTTATTTTCATCTTTATATATGACCTTTTATTTATTATTTGACCTGCTTCAATTCTCTTAGATAACCCTCATTTTTGGAAATGAAAAGCCAAGTGCCTTAAAAATAAATAAATAATAAATAAATAAATAAAACCCCACACTTCCTTTCTGAGAAGCCGCCATTCACATACTTAAATCAGTATCTATTCAGGACTCTACTTTTATCCTTAGGATCTCTATTGGATTTCTGAATATGCCTCACTATCATTCTGCATGAGGTTATTTTCCAGAATGTGGGCATGACTGAGTATGTGGATAATATTTCACTTGCCATCAAGGTATAAATATAGATAATTAGTAGTACATTAAGTATTCTAAATAACATTTCAGATAAGCAGAATATCATTCACTTCTTTTACTGAGGTCAAACAACATATAGCCACAGTATTAATTTTTTTACTCCTATATTTATCATTTTGGTATTACCTGTGGGCGAATAGTGTTATTTCCTTTTCCAACATTGTGAACAATTCCAGAGATGCAGAGTGGACCAGCAAATCCAAGTAAATCAGCCAGAATACGAAACGTGCTACTGAGAAGTAAAGGTCTCCCAAAAGCACAGCAAAGAGCACGCCAAATTGACCCAGATCCTTGTGGAAAAGATGACCTTTTGCCCTGTCCAGAATTTAAAAAAATATATATATGTTATCCCTTAATCCTGAATTTGATATATTGACAGTATCTTTTTCTCCACTTCAATTCATTGAAAATGAATTATTATTTTTGAGCTAGAAGAACATTAGAATTGCAACTATCATTTCATTTATTTTCAAAGAGTCAGAACAAAAGATTCATTTGCACTCTCCTTCAGTTGAGAAATTGAGTCATTATTTCTTTCATACCCTGACACAGGAACTAAACAAATGTGTTGTTCATGGCTGCAGGAGAACAGCAAATAGAGAGGCAGAAACTGGCAGGCTTTGTTTTCATGTAAACGGAAGACTGGAAAACTGTTGTCTCTTAGATAGTCTGCAGAAGGCTACTCAAAAAAAAAAAAAAAAAATCTCTGAATACACTGATCTGCCACTAAGGAAGCAAGCAGAATCCCATCTCTGGCAGTTTCAGCTGTGCATTCTCTTGTGGACAAACCGTAACCGAAATAACACAGAAAAAATATATCTTGAAAGGCCTCATTAATATCAACTCTGTAATTCAATGATTCCAGGCTCTTATTAGGAAAAATGCAGATGGCGTTTAGTGAATACAGTCCATAATTACTTGGCACATAACAGAAGCGGCTATATATATTTGATATGCATTTAACTAATAATGTGTATGATTTGCATATTCAGTTAGAGAAATTTCATTATCTGTACAACTGAGTACCTGATCTCTCTTACACGACAATGTTAATATCCACTTCATTTGCATCATTTGCATTATTTATATAATTTTATATCATGCTAATTTCATAAAAGAGTAATGAAAAAAATGTAAGCAGTGAGAAAGGAGTCTGATGAGTCTATGCTCTGCATACCTTTTGTGTTTCAAAAGCCTCATTAAGGCGAACGTAATTGGTCAGAGCTCTCATGGCAAAGGGAAGCTTGCCTATGGTTTTCAAATCTATTGGCTTTTTATGCGCAGTCTTGATGAATGTATTCATCCACCAGTACGTTCCTTTGGATAACAGATTCACAAATGGCTGTAGGAATCGAACTCCAAGGTCCTGGAGATCTTCAGGAGGTTTAACTTCTTTAGGAGTTTTGAAGAAAACATATCTCTGAAAACCAGAAAAATTCCCACAGACAATCACATTAAATGCACAGAAAAGGGGAAGAGAGGAGACAGTTAAAAAAAAAAAAAAGAAAAAAAAAAGAAAAAAAGAAAAAAAGCCTTCAAAGAATAAATAACTGAGATAATTAATTAGACAAAGAACTCATCTTGATAACTGGATATAATATTAAAAAAGTCACTCATTTTTGGAAAGGAATGGCCCAAACCCTTTAGAAACATACCTGTACACCTCTGAAAAGCACTCAATCACATACCAGTTTCAACATCTGTTCAGGGCTTTACCTAAATCCTATTTATATTGGTGGGATTTTTAGATATGCTTCACCCTTTCTCCAATCATAAAATACTCAATAAAACAGCAAAATGCTGCATTATGCATGCTGCATTTAGTAAAATTCTACAATCACAAGGGAGTTCTATTATACATGCATTCTTCGCTTGCCTTCTTGAGAGTGGGTTGAAATAGTTCACATACACTTGTCCTTGTTTATCAAATAAACATACTAATATACATACGCAAAATCTCACAAATCTCAAAAAAAAATCCATAAAAGAACAAATATATGATAAATGCAACTCACGTTGCTTAAATGTTACTGGAAAGAGCTCAGATGCTCATATAAGAAAAACAGCAGGAAAGTTTACATTTGAAAGACTCTTTCCATTCTGTCTAGTTTAAGTTATGGTCAGTTAAGTGAGGGATAGGTGAAAGCAAGAACACTGGCACTTATATGACCATTGGACTCCAAAGCCAACTCTCACTTTAGGTTATGACTGAAGATAGTGCAGGGGAAGGAGAGAGGGAAAAAAAAAAAAAAAAGGCTAGAAAGTAATTCCATTTGCCCCAGTAAATCATATTTTGCCTGCTTCTGGAAAATAAGAGACATTATTTGCATGTCTAAGGATGTTCCCTGGTAGAACAGACAATTCCTTTTTACCAAGTCCTTCCTTGTATCAGAAACACAGTTTCAGTCATCAGAAAAGAATGAGTCATAACAGACAAAAATCCTAAAATGGATGAAATTCACCTCAATTTAGCTACAGTGGAGCCCTGGATTATTGTTATTTTTAAAATTAGGAATTAATTCAGCCTAAAAAATTGAGTTGATGTTTGATTCTCAAATATACATATATTCCTAACTGTTTTTTACCTCTCCTCTTTGGAATAATATTCACACTGGATATCCAGAAACGGAGGAGAAATATAAAAAAGATTTGTATGTGAAGCTCACTCACCCTCACCCTGATGACATTGATTTCTACAGCTAGAAGCATTCCATATAGAATAACCAGGAGTCCTGTGAGGCAAAATCGAAGCTGAGAAAATCCAACGTCATTATCACAGAACTTTACAAATTTGATAGTTTTGGTTACAAAAGCTAAAGTCCAGTAGAATAGCAAGGCTGTAAGGAAAAAAAAAAGAATCAAGTCAACAACTGCAAAAATGTAAACAAACAGTATTAAATATTCATTCAGAAAAAAAGCAAAAAGAATATATAAAAAGAGTAGCTTTTCTCAAAACAGAAGCTTACTTCAATTTTGCAAATACGAAAATATTAAGAAAACATTTGTTCCAAATTCTCTTCCCATTAGATGCAGTGACCCTGTGAATGTTGCAAAACTGAAGTCTGCTGAAGGAAATTTCCAGTCGCTGTAAACACACATCCAGATGATGGGTTCAAGGAGAAGGTGTCTGTCAATGATCTGCAAATTTGGTTCACGTAACGAGGACAGCTGTGAATTTGGCTTTAATAAAAGCTGGCCACATTCCCTCTGTAACTCTCTGGGATGTCTGAGGGAACAGGCATTACTATATTTTCTTCAAAAAGTGTGAAGCAAACAACCTCAAACTCCAACAACAGGTTGCGTGCTCCCACCTCTGGGACAGAGCACAGAAAATCAGAATTGGATTAAGTCCAAGATCTGTGATAACACAACTCAATAAAACCTTTTTAAAAAAAAAAAACAAAAAAAAACAACAAAAAAAACACAAAACACACCTGTGGCACTTTAGAAATAATGCTTACTGCACAGAATTTATGTTTACATGTTAGCAGGAAGTTACATTTTAACCAGAGAGCTAACTTAAGGGAATTAACTACGATGCCAAAACAGGAGAAATTTAAATTAATTACAAAATTTGATTGCTGTCAAAATGGTGAGACAGTTCTATAACTATGATACAAAAAAAAAAATCAATTTTATTACATTTTAAAAAATCTCCTGTGTTCCCACCTTGCTATCTATCTCAGCTTAAAGTCCTCGAAGTTCAGATGTTATTTCATCATTTTCCCTACTGCTTTAATTTTTCGGTTTCACTTGTCTATAAAACATAAAAATATTTTTAACTTGAAAATAACTCCATTGGATGCTAACATTCAATTACATATTTTGAATGTTGAGAAAGCTAGCAGATTTTCCAATTTAATATGAAAACAATGACAAAATGTTTTGCTAAAGTGTGCAGCTACTATAAATCTACTCTACAACAGTGTGCAAAGAGCACCAAAACAAATGTTATCAGGAGAGCTACTTGGGAAAAAGCATTACACTGGACAAGTTACATTTATTGAAATACAATTACAGGTCAAAACTGCACAGGGAAAAACAGATTCAGATCAGATCAACAAAGAGTTCCAATAGTTTGAACACTTAACTGGGATCCTGAACTCAATTATCAACTTCAGAGAATAAATATTCCAAACTTTTTCCAATATTTTTGATAGGAGATGGAATGACCACTTCAGAATAGCCAATGCAGTCTGGGCATAAAGCTGAGTCACAGGACCAGCTCAGTAACTTTGAATCCCGGATCTTACATACCTGAAGGAACTGTGCTAATCCCCAAGAGGTGTTACAGTATCTTGCCTATTTATGAAGAACTGCAAATAGACTTCACTTCTCAAGGTGAAAAGGAATTAAATATCCTTAAAAAAAAATGACAGGATGGGAAAATTGTTCAAAATCAAAAGGCAAGTCTTTAATGGTCTCCTCCACAGAGTCAAGGATAATTTTTCCACTGAATTTACTAAGTTTTGGGTAAGGCTCTGTTAGCAACTCTTTGCCACTGTTTTTGAGGAATTTGTATTGCTCGGATTTGTATTTGTACCATTTGTATTTGAGGAATGTTTTATCTCCTATGCAGCATTTTACTATCAAATAATCCTCTTTTAGTTTCCCTTCTCATACTCTCAACCACAATTTTATCAATTTAAACCTTTCCTCCTGGTTTCCGTTTACCTTGTTTGCATTACACTAAGGGCATGCCGCTCATGGCCACAGTGCATTCGAGTGGGTTGATAGCCAAGTCAAGCTATAAATTCTGGGCTGATTTGCATAAGGCTACTTGCCCTCCCCCAGACTGTCACTGTAAAGCATCTGCCATTAATATTGAATGATGACGACCCTCAGGGTTGGATAAAAAAAAAAAAAAATCTGCAGTTTAGAAAACTGAATGTAAGTTGTTAGAAATACATTTCTTAGCTTTTCTCACAAACATCGGGACACTGAGAAAAAAAAATGAAAAATGAAATGAAAGTCAAAAGACATTACTTTGCTTAGAGTCAGACTAAAAGTTTAAATAGATGAATTAAAACAGGAAAGTAATGTGGTGGCTTGACTTTTTTTTTCCTGCTCATCTAAAAGCTAATGAAGACTGGAATTTCCATAGGAGTCTATTCCTTGGAATAGCACATGCAAAAAGGAAAATTCCCACTAAATAAATTTAGAATCATAATTATTAACTTACTGATATATAATTTATATATTAATATCATTTAAGTTTTGGCATTCACTAGTATTTCCATTTATTATTCAAATATTGTTCAGAGCTCATCTAGGATCAGTGCTCTAAATACTGAACAAGATTATGAAAAAAATTGCTTTAGGGATGAGATTATGCAAAAATGGGTAAGCAACTAGCAGCTGCAAATTTGTGCACCCATTCTTATCATTTAACAG